TTAGAAATTATCAGCAAAATTATTTAAATATGTAGAAGAAAACTTTGTAAAAAAACCTCCTTACTATCAGAAACCATTCAGGACGCCAATTAACAAAAATAACTAGTGTGAGAGGGGATGCCCAACTTGATCTCCTGCTTACGCAATTGATCATTATAAGCAACAAAACAGCACACTGCACCATACATTCAGTGTGGACCAATACAGTTCGACCAACCGTGACATGTTCCTGTCACAATAACACGCCGGACCCAATTTCCCAATAACACTAAAGTATGTAAGCCAACAGCAACACTCATCTCTCATATGTCAATGGGTGCGTTTGGCAGAAAAAAGCGCTAGGGTATAACTCAATCCAGGAAGATTTATTATAGCGCTGACACAATCACCATTTTGCTTATATTTGTTTGTTTTGAAGTAGAGTTTATAAGTTGTTTTGTGCAATTTAGTTTTAAGTAAATAATGACATGAATAAACATATACATGCTATTAAAAACTCATGATGGTAAGTTTTATATGAATACTTTACAAACATATTTTTAGGAGATTCACGGTTTAATCGTGTCCTGGAGGAAATAGTTTGATTTGATTGATCGCATTTGTTACAAGCGCTTGCTAGCGCTTTTTTGACCCAATGTAACACAGGTAACCTCAACAGGTGTAGTAACAACAGTTAGACTTGTGGAATTACCAAATAATCCCTCTAAGTCGCCTGCGCGATACTTAATACTGTTAGAACAAGTGGGTGATTAATTTTGTCCTCATTTGTTAGTATTTTCTTTTATTTTTTTACTCATTCCTTATGTACTTATTACAGTATTTTATAGAACTGTTAGAGAGTACTAAAGGGATACTTTTAGGATCCACATTGTATGTACATATCTCAGCCTGATGTTCGAATTTATAAATGAGGAGTGCACTTCAAACAGCTGGCATAAAAGTTAAGTTTTATTGTTTTAGCCGTGTGCAAAATTATGCTTTTAACAGACTTTTGAAACAGTTGACTTAACAAACTGCTTACTTTTATCATCAATACCATGCTCAATTAAGGCATTTTACTCTCAGCTTACAAGTACAAATACAAACATAGAGAGAATCCCAAAATACAAACAAAATGCTCTTTATGCATATGAAATTTTATGTGATGCAAAAAAAGATAACTGCGTTATTGTCACCTTCATTCTTTAGCAAGGCCGTTGCCTTTTTTCCTTTCAATAGATACCGCAATTGATTTTCCATTAGTGAGACAAAAAACTTTGTCGTTAAAGTCATGTTGTTCATGAGTTTACTATAAGTATTTTGATATATCCAGTATCATATTATTCTTATTAATATCAATAAACGTAAAATAAAGAGAGTTATATCTTAAAGCAAAGTCATAGTCAAATAATGTGGAATTTCGCACAATTGTCATACATTAAATAATGCTGTTGAAAAAATCACAAAAATCTACTTAAATTCAGCCAGTATAGTTCTGCCAAAGTATCCTAATCTGGTACCACATATCATGTCATGGGTGTCGTAAGAGGCTTCAGCGGGAAACAAATCAGGAAATGGGTAGCAGTGTCTTGCTAATAATGACTAAAAATAAAAAATTGCGTTTGCCAACCCGCTTGCCAAGTATGGCAATTTCGTCAAATATCCCCCTATGAGGCAATCTATGGGGAGGCCTATGATCAGCAGTCAACTTTTAGAAGCTGTAACGTTAACATGCAAATAAGGGAACAAGTAATTTTTGAACTATTTTATTTGCTTATGTTTGTTTAATCGACACCTGGTTTAGGACACGTTCTCTCTCCATCTCTCTCTCTCTCCCTCATTACTCTGTGGTGTCTTACAATACTGGTGAAATGATATGGGGCCTTAGAGCTTAAGTTTGGGTGGTAGAAACACTTACGCTGTTGCTTCACGGCATTAAAAAGACCCTGCCTCCTTTATCATGCTCCTAATATATATACACATACACAGATATAGCTTCCTCAATAGTTCCTTTTCTAATGAGCAAGAGATAAATCAGTATATAAGATTGTAATTAGAATTAAATGGGATCCAACTCGTTTATTATTTATTATGTGACCTTTCTCATCTTGACGTCTTTTAAGGTATTAGTAAAGCTTTTCAGTAAAATAATCAGTACAGTATGTTAGTGTAAAGATCAAGTATTCATACCTCACTAACATTGTTACAACATTATTATTAGACATATTATAATAGTGTAATAAAAAATAAAAACAATAAGCAAACAAAAATGGGTATCACCCACTCTGTTTCTTCTGCATATCAATGACATGTTATAAACCGGTAACATTCATTGCTATGCAGACGACAGCACTGGTGATGGTTTATACACCAATGCCAATATTTCTCGGGAAAACGTCGCCGAGTACTGGGACAAACTTGTGTCTTAAGTCGAGACTTTGTCGTACAAAGTTTCGGACTGGGGGCGACTAAATCTAGTCCAGTTTAATCACCAGAAGACACAAGTTTGCGCGTTTACCGCTAAAAAGAACCCCTTCGTCGTATCTCCTCAGTTTCAAGGCACTCCCCTTGTTGCCTCAGCCAGGATCGGAATTCTGGGTGTCAACATATCGAGTGACGTGTAGTTTCGTGGTCACTTGGAGGAGAAGCCCAAATTGGCATGCAACTTTACAAGGCGCAGGTTCGGCCGCACATGGAATACTGTTCCCATCTCTGGGCTGAGGCTTCCCATTGTCAGCTCCTTCAATTTGAGAGCTGCTCGAATCATCGCCGACCGAGCTCTTTCCGATCTGCTTGACTCACTGGCACTGCGAAGAGATGTCACATCTTGCGTATTTTATCGCATCTACCTCGGAGAGTGCTCTGAGGAATTTTTGGGACTTATTACAGCCACACAATTTCACCATCGCACATCGCGACAAAACTCGCGATATCGTCCATACCATCTGGACTGGCGGTCCACCACTGTGCGATTTAGAAGGTTTTCTTCCTCGCATTATTTTCTTGTGGTATCGACTACCACCAGAGATTTTTCCGGACCGATACCACTTAGGGACCATCAAGGAAAGAGCCTACTCCTTTTTAAAAGGCCGACGACGCATCTGCAATCCCCCTGGTGTTGCGGTTGATCATGGCCGGCGGTAGTCACTTAACATCAGGTCGTTTCCCCTTCCTCTTTTGTGTTTGTGTTGAAGCAAGTTTAAATTTTTTATAAGAAAAATTGCACAATGAGGTTTTTGTTATATCAAGCAGATATGAAGGAGATAAGCCCTCGGCATGAGGTGATCGCCACGATGCTGATTCTGTGAAAAATAATTTTAAAATTGTACGAACAAAATAATTATAAAATGATATATGTTTAAAAATCCCGCTAGATTTCTTGCTGGTTCTTCCCGGGACAGAGGTATTTTTCGAACCAGTTGTAATTAAAAAATGACTTTCAATAAGTATTATGTAATCATTAATCAATATTGAATAAAAATCATTTTATTTTATTCTTACACCGCCACTACACGGTCCTACATAAATGCACATGTTACTTTTTGCTTTTATGTTTTCAGTAAGTGAGTTACTTACTTAAATCGCATTTCTTATGGAAAATCTTTCCTACACTGGTAGAGGCCCCATGACTAGTAATTCGATAATTAATATTTTACTTGTAAAGATACCATCTCTATATATGTCTTATGGGCACAGACCTCTAATTTCTGCATATTCTTTACTCATATTTACTAGTTGCAAATTTATTCCCCATATTGGTAATACATAGTACAGAAATTTCCTTTTGTACCGAAATGAACTTCTTTTATATATTTCTTATAATGAAGTTGTTTTAATATACACAAATAAATAAAATTGAGGTGTCCGTTTGTAATGTCAAACTAACAGCATTTTTACTAAATACATACCTATGAAAGTATATATACACGGTTTTTTTTTTAATTTTTGTCTGTCTGTTTGTTCCGATTAATCTCCAAAATGGCTGCACTGGTTTTGAAGGATTTTTCTTTGGCAGATAGGTGATGTTATAAGGTATTATAACTTAGGCTATGTTTTTAGAAAAAGAATTAGAGTTCCGCATAGTAAAAATTGAAACCCATGCAATGCAATCGCAAATAAATTCTACGCAAGTCGCGGGGAACAGCTAGTGTTGGATCAAATTACAAGTTTATTAACTTTATAAATTATTAATATGTATTAATATTATTAACTTTTAGACAGTAACCAACCTAGTAATGATCTCGACATTAAAATACATGTCTATGATTGTGGTAAAGGTGCTAACTGTCGCTGTTCCTCTATGTCTAAGGTAGCATCAACTAAATACCCTGGTATTCTGCTAGACGAAAGACTTTCCTGGCAATCGCATATTGATCCCGTCGCGAGTAGAACACGCAAGTTAATATGGATTTTTAAAATGTTGAGACATGTTGCCGACAAAAAACTTATCAACTAAGTGTATGCGGGATAAGTACGACCCATATTAACTTTCTGTCTGACAGTTTGGGGAGAATCACTAAAAACTAAATTTCTCGTGGCTCAAAGAGCGTTACTAAGGGTGATATATTTTAAAAATCGCAGATTTGCAACACAGACTCTGTGATCCGTTGTTGATGTGCTGACTATTAGAAAACTATACTCTCCATAATGTAGTAAAAAGCACAAGTCATTAAAATTTGATCCGTTCATATTGCATAAAAGAGGACATAATAAAGTGACCACAGTTAAAAAGCACTCGTACCCAATTTGCAAGAAATCAATTTCTCATCGTTATTATACAACCGCTCCAATCAAAATCTACAACTACTTATATCGAGTGGACATGCAGGGAATGTAAAATAAAGGTGACCATTTGGCTTAAAAAACTACAATAAATAAAATAATAAATAAGTTTAACTTATAAATAAAACTTATTGCTAACTTTAAATGGAATTAATCATTGAATAATTACGGGCTACGACTTTATAATTTATGTAAGTATTTTATTGTCTCCAAAACTAATGTGAAACATTGTATTTCAGAAAACTGGCAGTTACATAAATATGGCCGATGACCCCGGCCAGTCACCTTCATCTCACGCAGGTAAGTTTGTTTTTACCAAATACAATTTTGTTCCTTATTTACATATAATGCCCATTTAACTACATAATCCTGTTTTGAATGTATGGGAAAAGCAGAAGCAGATTTTTTTACCTTCCAATAAAATAGGTTCACTACATATTAACTTACTTTATTAAAAGCCACAATAGCCTAATGGCAGGGTGCGTACTGCGAATTTAAAAGGTCGTGGGTTCAAATCCGCTTAATTAAAATTTTAGGTTTACCTGGTAAAGGAATATTAGTAAGCATTTCATTAGCAATGTTAGTAGCATTGGTAGTGTTTTTCTTAATAAAAATAACGAAAGAATATTCACTACGCTGCTCGGTAGTGGTACTTAAGAGGCGACAGAGGAAAAGTGGTGATTGAAGACGGAGATAGGCAGCAGCGTCTTCTTTACAACTCAAAATAGTAAAAGAACTGCAGATGGCAGCCCGCCTGCCAGGCGTGGCAGCTATGGCACAATCCCCCTTCCCAGTGGTTGTTATTGTATCATTCATAAATTTCTTAATATTATAATAACCCTATTGATGCAATCTTTGTTTAATAAAGTTTTTGAACTCTGCTTAGACAGTAGACAAATTATGTATATTTTGTTTTGTATTTTGTTGTAAAAGCGTATGTATTGGCCCGCGAAGGAAGGGTTGATGATGAAGGAGAAATAACTTTAAAATAAAATTATATAATTCTAATTAATATAGCTGGCTAGCAGGTGTGCCGTATGAAAGTTTGACCCCTCTTATACATAAAATTAATTAGTGAATTTTATACAAGATGATTATAGTCAGTCCCGTTTAGGGCTGACCACACTGCTCTTGGGAAACACTGTCGATAATACGACACGCGTTCAATCACTAAACGAGATATTATCGGGTGAAATACGTATCGTTGTGTATATTGAGCAATATTTGTATACTATATATATATATATATATATATATATATATATATATATATATATGTAAGTGTGTGGCCCATAGCCACAGCACCCCCTTCATCATCTGGTGGATTGTGTTTCGTTAGTCACCATCACTTCTATAATAAAATACTTGCTTCTATAATAATATACTATGAGATTGTACTAAAACCATTAAATAAATGCCATTTAGTGGCGTAATTATAGGATCTATTTATTTATTGGTGGCAGAGCCATGTTGCAGCTGCATTACTGGTATAGTTGTAGCACGAATGGGTCGGCTCGACAGGGGAGAGACCACGCTTTCACAGAATACCAGCGTAAATAGCAGCTTAATGCTGAAACGGACACCCAGAGCAAACAACCAGACCCGGAACAATTATTTGTAGGCCATACAAATACTAGTTCCGTGCGGGATTCGAACACGCGGCCCTCAGCGCTACAACTGATTGCTGATCCACTGCGCCACGGAAACGTCATTAAGCGCTCGCTGTAACCTATATACCAACATTCCGGGTACGATCCCCTCCGATATCAATGAAATTGTTGTTATTTTAAGTACTGATTCACGATTCACTTGATACCACGTGCTCGACAGTGAAAAAAAAACATCGTGAGAAAACCTGCACTTTTTGTAACGTCTGAGAAGTTACATGATAGATATGACGAAACGATCAAGGCGACGATAAAAGAATTATGTCTCAACAGCTTTTTAGCAAGAACAAGAAGCCCGTTTTTAAAACAAAAAACAAGGTCAGATTCAATAAAGTTACCACAAACCAATATATCAGCGTGTTTCGTATGGTTTTAAAGAGTACCGGAGCCCACTTTTACTGGATACGATGCGTTCCATTTAAGTCCTCAGGAGTGACAACGCGTCTGCATTTTCATTTCTAATCGATGATAAAGATGATAGTATAATGAAGAAAGATGAAGAGTGATGGAGGTTGTACTGTATGCTTGTTTGTCACCCTTATTCTATTAAAATACTCTTATTTTTTAATCAGAGTTCTCCTTGAAAACGCGTTTCCACATTTTGAAAATTGGGAAGCATTAATTTGCTAATGGCAATTTGTAATCGCGTCGCGATTGGGCGCCGGAAGATTTAATGTGGTTGAGTAATGTTTCCGCGGGCCCGCTTCGCGAGGGTAAGTCGGGGGCTCGGCCCCACGCCCCGATCGATGCTCCCAAGGCCACGGCCGGGCCGCTATTGATTTCCGTATAAATAGCGCCAGCCCCGTCCGCGCGCCCCCTCCCAGCCCCGGGCTCATGTCGACGTCCGGTCGACCTTGCCCGTTCACGTGTATCGTGGAAACTTCCTCGGGGATGTTTTCTCGCAATTGGTAGTGGCGATTTATTTTGATTGTGCTAATAGTTAGTGTGTACATAGTTAAGATTTGTTGTAAAATTTTTACAGGAACAAAATGGTTGAAACAATAATTTAAAATATTCGACTTTGTTAAAAAGTTTACTGATACAAAACCTTATTTGCAGATACAATTTATAAATATCATGTAACTTAACTCACTCACAATTAAGACGCATCTAACGATCATAATATGCTAAAATCTACAAGTCGTTTAGGCTACAGAGCGTGCCTATAAGCTTACATATTATATAAATACTTTCGAAAAAAATTACCATCTTTTTGCAACAGTCGGGTAAAAAAATTAAAAGTTTCTATAGTTGTGTGCCGCTACGAGCAACCCAGATTCGATCCTCGCCGGCACCAATCATATTTTAGGTGCAATTTTGAGGCCAATCCTGGTAGAGGAATGGGAAATTTGTGGTCAGTAGCGTGTGGGACCTTATATTATTCCATCTAGGTTGGGTTAGAATCACTTATAGCTATTTCTGCCGCTCTTAATAATAATACGTAAAATAATTTATACGTGGTAGAGCCATGCTGCAGGTATTATAGTTGTAGTACGAATGGGTACGAAAGGAGAAACAAATTTGACCGGGGAAGAACCACGCTTTAACAGATTACCAGCGCATAAACGCAGCCTAATGCTGTTTCGTATGTTGAGTGTACAGAACCGGAGACCCTTTTTACTGGAGTCGAGGCATTCCATCTTAGTCGTCAAAGGTGACAACGCATATGCATTTTGATTCTTAATCCACTTACCATCAGGTGGACTGTGTGCTCGTTTGTCACCCTTATCCTACGAGTATAAAAAATCAGTAATGTACCCACTGCTACGCTGTACCTCTTGCCGTGAGATGTATTAGTAATTTTCAGGACACACATAGCCTGCGTTGTTCGAAGTTGTTTGCAGGCTTTATCAATTATAAAAAAAACAAGCACACACCACAGATAGTTCCTAAAGCCTTTCATTTGGTAACTACAGCAGAGACTCACTAATTCGGCACTATAATATAAAAGATACTATACTACACTATTGTATAACAGACCAAGAGGTGACGGATTATTGGAATGTTCCGATTACTGGATTCTATAGGGAAATTCAAGGTAAATAAAGCAATACGTATATTACATAGATACGTATGTATTTAAATATTTATTTGTGACAATGTTAAAGGTCCCTTTTTCACAACTTGTACTTTTTGTTAATAAACTTTTTCTCGGAAGTTTCATTGTACTGTAATATCCTTGGCAGATACAACCTTTTCTTCAGTCCATGTTATACAGGTATTGATATGATTGAACGCCGTATCTGGTTTAATTTTCGTTGTGGTAGTTGGTGGCTCTAATATTTCTGTAAAGCTTTTCTCTTTTTGTACCTCTTCACTTCTTCATCTGTCATTTTTTGCTCTGTTTGTTCAGTGTTTCCTTCAAGCCAAGAATTTAAATCTGCTTCGCTTATCGCTTATCCAGACTCCATCGTTTTCATGCGTTTTCCTACCTTCTTTCTGTTTTTCTAAAGATCGTGCACAGCAGCACGCCCAACTCCATACTCTTTCGCCAGTTTCCACATGTTTTCTCCACTATCTAACTTTTTTTTAAAATCTCCATTTTCTCTTTCAATGCTAAAGTTTTATAATGATTTCTTATATTTACGCGAACACTACACATTGAAATAATACTAGTTTTTACGTGCGTGCGTTTTTAAGTGCTAAAGTTTTATGTTTTCGTTTGCTCGATATCGTTTATACAATAACGCAATACCAACTCAGAGTGTATTTTGATAGTACGTAGTTATGTTTATATATATGATTACAATTATTAGCAATCGTTAGTTATAATATCTAAGATCACGTAATCTATTACAAAATTTGATTTGCAATACCTATAACCTCATGATGTTTTGTTTTGTATAAACGATAGTTAAATATAAGTCATACTTCCATCAAATGATCTTCACAGAAGTGTAGGGTAAACTAGCGTAAATATGTGACTCACTTAATTCTGTGATAATATGTTTTGATGCTTCCACTGCTTTATAGGAGCAAAATTTACTACTTTAAATTCAACTTTGTGATAGAACGATAAGGCTTCTTTTTGTGTATAAATTTTTTTTCAATACTTGTTAGACAAATAATAACAGTCACGTGATTTGTCATTTCACCCGCCATTTTCGCTTCCCAGCGGCAACGTACGTCTTGAGTTGTGATAATTAATACATTTTAAATGAAAAACATAGGTGTAACTTTATGAAATTTGGTGAATCAGTTGTTGAAAACATATAATTGCTGCCACTGTGAATGGTTTTGATCAATTCTGATTAATATTTGAATAATACCTTATCTACTGGATTCAAAAATTAACGATTTTCGAGATTTAAGCGCGAAACAGTGTCACCGAATTAACGAAGGTAAGTGTGATGTTTTTCTTATTCTTATATTAATAGTTTTAGTTATTGTGACTAATATAGTAAAATATATTTTTAATTGTGATATAAGAGTAGCGGCCATTTTCAAGCTTTTTTAAAATTTTTGTTAATTTTATCACGTTTTTTAGTTCTTTTTATCACGAAATTAAGTGAGTTGTTATGTTATTTCAGACACCATGGAGGAAAATAAGAATTCGAAGAAAAAAAAACAGAAAATATAATGAGATAATGTTAAAATCAGCCATTGAAAGTGTTTTACAGTCAAAATTAACTTTGTACATGGCATCAAAGGAATTCAACGTGCCGTGGAGTACATTAAAGGCCAATGTTGAACGAGTTAAAGAAGAACGCAAGCAGGGAATAACACAGATTAGGATGCTCAAAGTAGGTAGACCATTTTCTTTGTCAGCGAATTTAGAACAAAGCTTACTGTCATACATTATACAAATGCAAGAGCTTGGATTTGGCCTTACTGTAAACCAGATAAGACAAATAGCCTTTTCACTTGCTGAGACAGCTGAATGTAAGCATTACTTCAACAAAAGCAAAAGATGTGCTGGATGGAATTGGTGGGTTAGTTTTAAAGGTCGTTACGGTTTAAGTTTAAGGATTCCGGAAAATCTTTCATCCGGTCGTGCTATTTGCTCAAATCCCACAATATTAGCTGATTTTTATGAAAAATTAGAGGCAACTTTAGTTAATCATAACTTGTTGGATTGCCCAGATAGAATATGGAACTGTGACGAAACGGGTCTTATGTACGTCAACAAACCTACTAAAATTGTCACCAAAATAGGAAAAAAATACGTATATAATCGAACATATGCTGAGAAAGGCACTACAACTACAGTGCTAGCTTGCATTAATGCAGCTGGGCATTTCATTCCCCCTTTGGTGATATTTAAAGGGGTAAGAAATATCCCTGGACTATCGAATGGGTCTCTGCCAAATAGTTTAACGCGACTGTCGCCAAAGGGCTGGATAAATGCAGATTTATTCTATGAGTGGTTGAAATTTTTCGACCGAAACATTCCTCCTACAAGGCCGGTTATGTTGATTATGAATTCACATGCGAGTCATATAGCTCCAAAAAATTCTTGATTATGCTAAATCCCACCAGATAATATTATTTACTATGCCTGCTCACACAAGCCACATTTTGCAACCACTGGATGTTGGAGTTTTTCGACCACTTAAAGCGGCATGGAGAGCAGAGTTGCAAAATTATAAAGTAAACAATCCCACCTCAGTACCTACAAGATTTGATTTTCACAAATTCCTGACACCGGTTTATGTACAATGTTTTACGCCTACCAATATACGAGCAGGATTTAGAAAAGCTGGAATATATCCAATAAATAAAAATGCTGTATGTTCAGAAGCTATTGCACCTTCAATATTATCAGATCAACCTGTTCCTACATCACAGTTCTCTATGGAAGAAATAATTATCGGTCAAGACTACGATGTTGATATTCCTCAAGCCGAAATAATAAAAACTAATTATGATCCCCTTAGTGAAGGAGCAATCAACGAGAAAGACGCTAGCAAACCTTCAATCCCAAGCATTAGTTCTATTGGCGAGGCACAAATTGAAAATAGTGCTCCTTCTGAGACTTTGCAAATGGAATGCGAGTTAGAACAAGTTCCGAACTCAATGTATAATATAAATACTGTAACAAATAATATAACCATTGACGATATACCGAGACCTATTCTTCAAAATAAAAATAAAATTGAGATACACGACATATTAATATTACCAAAATGGAAACCTAATATAAAAACACGACAAAAGAGAAATGTTCCCAAAGCTCAGTGCTTAACACCGGTCGCCACAACATCATCTACAAACGTATCTTTAAGACATGTCCGCCGAACAACTTTTAAAAAAGAAGATCAAAAAGTGAAAGATCGGCGAACACCACAACCAAACTTAAGAAAACAAGTAAAAGAAAACGTCAAACAAACTTCTCAACCATTAAATAGATTAAAATCTTCAATCTCGGATGATGAATGGGTTTGCCGATCTTGCAATGGGCTGTACTCACAAGATGTAAAGTTACAAAATGGAGCCGACTGGATTACATGTTCTTTCTGTACTAATCCTTATCATATCCATTGCCAAAGTCAAATTATAGGTGATAACCAAGAAGTTTTTATGTGTGATAGTTGCAGCATTGATGAATCTAGTGGTGAAGAGTAAAATAACATGAATAATAATAATAAGAGTATCTTAAAATATTTAAGAAATTCATTGAATTCTTACATAAACTTTTTATTATTAATAATTAAAAATGTACAAATTTATTCCTTGTTTCTTAGCTTTTAGTTGATTAGTAAAATAATTTTTAATTGGAATAAATTTCGCGAATTTTGTGAAGATTAAAAATAAATACTCACCTAATTCTGTTATATCACAATTAGAGTAGTACCATCACCGAATTAAAGTGATTGTCACCGAATTACACAAATCATCAAGCTATGCATAAAGTTCATTTACTTTAGGTTTATCATTTGAAAAATATGATTACTATTGCTCATATGGTAAACAAAAGTGTGGTTGATTCTCTTATATAAAATAAAACATTTTTATTAAGTTTCACCCGATTTTTTTTGCAATATTCTGTTTTATCACAGAATAAGATGAGTACACCCTAGTCTAGATTTTGTAGACAATGTATTCGCGTATCTTCTTGCCAGTTTTAACTAAGTATTTCTCATATTTAAATCAGTTGGCACTCGAATCCATAACTTCGCCAGCATTCTTATGCTCGTATTTTTGCAATCAAGCACAACACACCAGTGATAAAGATTGATAACTCATTATTAAACATTCAAGCGTATCTTATTCCTTTGTACAATTGGCAATGTTCTAGGGCAGTGACGTCACGAATTGAACAGCATGGCGGCAAGCGTTTTCACGCGAAAATTTAAAACGATAAATTAAAGTAATGTTTATGGCACTGTTCGGTTTTCAAAATTTATATAAAAATTAGAGTGATTCATTATCACTCAAGAATTTATTTAAAACCTTTTTTGAAAATGTGGGTAATACCCTATTACAGGCTGTGAGTTATTTCATGTTAGTTTCCAGAGGAGACCGCGCATCTGTAGCTTTCTTTGTTCGCAGGTGCCATGGACTGCAGCAGCCGCCTACCATCACGTGTACTCTAAGTTCGTTAGTCACTTCAGCTTTATCATAAAAATACAACGATAAATTTGATTCTTTTTCAAAACTTCTTACGAAAGTTTTTGTTTTGTTTACATCACAAAGGTAACAGAGCAGCTGTAATGCATACAAAATTGAGCAGTGCGCAGATTTGCATCACCGACGTTGCGGTGTTACGATGGTCTCTTTATATATTTTTTTATTCACCATAAGGTCACCATCTAGCACTCTGCAGTATTTTTGTACGTAGGTACTTATAACAAACAACATTTCACTGAAGTACAAGATTTATTTTCTTCACATTAATAAAAATAGTTTTAATAAAAAAATGACACACAGTAAACATAAGCAACACAAGCTACCAGTTTCTTGACTCAAAGTCAGTAATTCTTTCATGGAACAACGTACGAGGGTGGATTGAAAAGTACTCGGCCTAACCAAGAAAATAAACACATACTAAATCAGTTATATTTTTATTTTTCTACATAATCACCATCAAGTTCAATACACTTTTGCTACCTCCCCTTCCAAGCATTTAGACCGTTGAAAAAAATGATTCTTCCTTAGAGTCAAAATATGCGTCTACAGCTGCTTTGACCTCGTCGTTTGTCGAAAATCTTTGACCTCCCAAGTGCTTTTTTAGGTTAGGGAACAGAAAGAAGTCTGATGGTGCCAGATCAGGTGAATACGGCGGATGCGGTAACAGTTCAAAGCCACAGTTGTGAATTTCAGCCATTGACTGTACTGACGTGTGAACACGGGCGTTATCTTGATGAAACAGGACTTTTCTTCTGAGCATTCCTCGACGTTTTTCTTTTATTTCCCCTCGTAAACGACGTAGTAAGGTGCAGTAGTATACAGAGTATATAGTCTGACCCCTTTCAAGATAATCAATCATAATCACACCTTTCGAGTCCCAGAATACTGAAGCCATCACCTTATTTGCCGACAAAATCGACTTAGCCTTTTTAGGGGGTGGTGAACCAGGTCTTCTCCACTGTTTTGATTGTTGTTTCCGGTGTAATGTACCCATGTTTCGTAATGAACCCATGTTTCGTCCATAGTAACAAAACGATTCAAAAAATCATCTGCATCGGCTTCAAATAACTCCAAACAGTCGCGTGAAATAGTCAATCGCGTCCTTTTTTGTTCAACTGAAAGCAGTCGCGGAACCCACCTCGCAGACACCATGTGGAAACCCAACTCGTTGACAATGATGTTTTGAGTTCGTTCATAAGAGATGCCTATAATCTCGGCTATCTCTCTAATTTTTAATCTGCGGTCTCCCATTATTAAATCAAGTACTTTTTTTAATATTTTCGTCAGTAGTTGACGTCGAAGGCCTTCCAGAGCGGGGTTCATCTTTCACACTCTCTCTACCACGCTTAAATTCTGCTATCCATTTTTTGACGGATGAATATGACAGAGCACAATCGCCTAATGTACTGACCATGTCATCATGGATGGCTTTTGATGATAGCCCCTTCTTATGGAGGTACTTAATGACGGCACGCTGCTCGATTTGCTCCATTCGCGGAAATTATGTCCGATTACTTTGTTAATAAATTTATAAAATCACAACTAATTATTGCACACGTTTCGAACTTCACACAATGAACTAGTCTGAACTGAACTAAATAATGTGGGTAGATTTGATTTTTAGAATTGAATGGATCTGTGTTAGGCCGAGTACTTTTCAATCCACCCTCGTACCTATAGGCTATTACAACAAAGTCCCAGTAAAAATACAAAGTCTCGTCTATTATTAAGTTTAAATATTGTGTTAAACAAAAACTGTATAAAAAGTGTTATTATAATATATATGAATACACGGTTGACAATAAATAACCCCTGGGAACGAGGTGGTCGCGTTCAACTGTTTCTTAAATAAGTTTTGTAAGTTAAGAATGATCTTTCTTATGTAATTTCTAATTTAATTTGGAAAAAATGTCCCGCAGGATTTTTCCAGAATAGAGGTTTTTTCCTAAGCAGTGGTAAAAGTAATCATTGGCTTTCAATAAAAATTTCCTTTTAATATTGATAAAAAAAGTCTATTCTGTTACTTACTTTTGGTACAAATAACTTTCGTTTTAAAAATATATATTTGTATCTTAATGCTGTCGTATTTCGTACGGTGAGCCTATTGAACCACCCATTATTCTCGTGGAGTAAACAGATATTAGTGGAATGGGATGACTGTAGCGTAATACGCTACATACGTATATAATATTTTTTCTCCTAATTTCAAGGTCATCTTAAAGCATTCCACTTACTGATTGAAGGTCGGTCGGAGGCTTTCGCGTCCGACCGATAGCGGCCGGTCGGCATGCCGGGTGCTGCAATAGAATCGGTAGTGGATCACATCTTACCATGGGAGCCGTGAGACGTGACATACAACCATGAAACAGGTGGTGACAGTAGCAACTTCCTAATAACAATTCAAAATAATAAAAAACTGCAATTGTTGACTTGAGCTTGAGCTTGAGCTTTTCGAGCGTAGTAGTTGTTTAGCATATGAGGCTTTCTATGGTCAGCTTCATTGGCAGACTTTCTTAGGCTGTAATGAATATATGTCCCATATTGTTAATGTGTCAGCTTGTTAGCTGTAAGTTCCGTTATTTTTAACGCTTTTTATAGTGTAAGAGCCATGTTGAACCGTATTACGAATAGATTGCCTCCAGCGGAAAGGGGTTCGCTCGCACAGAATACCAGTGTGAAGTAGCAGTACAATGCTGCTGTGCTTCGTACAGTGAATGACGAGAACCATGTATTCTATTTTAGTCCTTAGGGTTGACAACGCATCTCCTTTTTGATTCTAAAAGGTTGATAAACAATAGCTATAGCTATAGCGTACCAGCTAGCAGCAGCAGCAGCAGCTATTTACGACCCCCTAAGACGCAATTTATGGGGGATGCCTATGTTCAGAGTAGGTGGAAATATGTGATGGGTCTGTTTCCAACTCGCCTGTGATTCAAGGGCATGTCCTCTTATTGCAGAAAGGTCACAAATAAGAGAATGGAACCAAGTTCACAGTGTTTCTCAGTGCTGTCTTGGTGGATTTCCGTACTCTTTTTTAGGCTACGGTCTCCTATTAAATGCTATACGCGACGTCCGACTTCAGCGTAAACGTTCCGATTGGCGTCTGAACGCCAGACACAGCGTCAGCGGTCAATACATGTCTTAGCAATGGACGACGTCTAGACTTTCGATCAAACAACAGTTAAGTAGCTGATAGTGCCCACGTGTGGTTGTGTGTGATATTTGTACATAAAATAGATATAAATTCAATACTTTTCGCGATGCTTGTGTTACTTGAAGAAGAGACACAAGGCGACGTATACGAAGAAAAATAAAGGCAACAAGGCACCGATTATTTATGAAGAGAAATGAAGAAGGATGTTTCCAGCTATTATAATGAAACACTTAAAAAACAGCAACTCTAAATTTACTGAATATTTTCTTATTAATCAAGAACAATTTAAACATAATAATAAATCAATAACTCGTCTTTTTCTTTATAAAATTTTGTCATTTTGTACTGACGCTAGACACGACCTTTACGCTGCAATGGGTCGAAATAACTAGAGACGCAGCGCAAAGCGTCTTAACGCCGCCTACGACGTCCATACGCCGACATCAGCTTGTGAAAGAGACCACAACAGTACATTTCTATAGTAAGCATCGTAACGCGGCGTACGGCGTGACGCTGTAAGCGGCCGATGGCGTTTATAGGAGACCACCGCCTTAATGAATTCGTTCTCAAAACGCTGATGAAATAATTTCTGCGATCTTGAACTTGAAAACCTACGCGTCCGACGCAGAGTTGACGCGGCGCATAAAATCAATAATCGATTTATTTATGTACCTTAATTATCTTATGCCTTAACCGTATGTGTTAACGTAGCAACATAGCATATTTGGGTTGAGGGTCGATCTCCACGAATATCATCATGAAAAGAAACTTGGCCACCAATAAATTCTGCGTACCAATGCCTTACGGTGCTTCCCTCCCAAAAGTTTTGAAGAAGAGCTGT